TTCTTTTGATTTTACTGTTTACCTGTGGGTTTACTTTGATGTTGATTTTACTGTGATTTTACAGTTCCAGATTTCCAGGAGCAAGACATATTCCTGTGGAGGAAGGACACAGGTTTTGGTTTCAGGATTCTCGGGGGCAACGAGCCAGGAGAGCCAGTAAGTCTGAAAGTTTTCCACATCTTATCATATCCCCGAAAACCCATTTTCACTTAGGCGTTCTCAGATTTCAGCCTGGATCCTAGTGAAATCTATTAACTATGCCTGATGCATCTCAGTAAGCTGATATTTTATTACCAAACGTTTCCCTTTTTCCCCGACTTTTTTTTGCTTCTGTGCTGGATTCAAATTCAGATCAGAGATTTCTGCCAGCACAGTTACTCTTTGATCTGTCTAGCGTAGCCTCAATCAGTCAAAAACAGAAATCATCTCATACATTCCTCTTTCTCTTAAGTTAAGTTGGTTCTTGTTGGCTGGTCTGTGCCGTGCTCTGTTGTCGAGGGGAAAATAATACGAGGTGCATTCAAGCTGGGTTCACGTGACAAATGTAAGAAGAGTGGATAGTTAACAGTGAAACATATACGAGGTGTTATGGCTGTCATGCCAACTCGGCAGTGAAAAATAGACTCTGAATCCTTCTCATTATTATTTCACTGCCTTTCCTTTAAAGCTAAACTTCTTTTCACCACCCTCTACATTCTGTCACAGCACAAAGCCATCGCCTGGCGTGTGTTGACAACGTGTACTTTTCTGTTGAACCAGATCTACATCGGCCACATAGTGAAGTACGGCGCTGCAGACGAGGACGGGCGCCTGCGGTCGGGCGATGAGCTGATTTGTGTCGATGGCACAGCGGTTGTGGGAAAGTCGCACCAACTGGTGGTGCAGCTGATGCAGCAGGCGGCCAAGCAGGGGCACGTCAACCTCACTGTGCGACGCAAAACCAGCTATGGAGGTAAGATTCATAAGGGAGCAAGGATTGAACGGCAGTAGAAATGAATGACGTAACGTAACGCCTCTGTTTAGTGTTGATCTGGGCTCCCACTGAACTGTTGAGCTGTACACCTCCAGCATGTCAAAACAGTTATTGGCCTTTATATATAAAATTGGTACACACCACGGAAAAACTGAATCTAATTTCTGTCAATGAAGGATAAAGGACATATTTTCTACCAAAGTATATTTTGCTCCAAGAAAATAAATGCTGAACATCAACTCAAAACTGTAAAAAAAAAAGTCCATTTACAGAGGCCATGTGTATTTCTTGTCACCTACGATGCTTTATTTCTTTCTGTGTTCAGATTATAGATTTCGTCATTTGTATCGGATTTCATTACATCACTTCAACATGAACTACCGTACACGAGTATTCATGAAAAATCCGTTGGTATTTCATTCCTCCAAGGGCTCCATTTGTTACAATTGTATTCCTATCAGGAGCCCCAGGCCTGCTCACGTCCTCTCTAATAGTCCCATCGCCCCATCGCTCTTTTGGCAGAGATCTGCTCTGCCCAGCTCTGCGGCACACGATGAAGAAGGGCCCATAAATATGATGGAGAGGCATGGTCGACCTTAAGGCCGACGACAGTGGCCAGACATTAGCGCCTCGCTGCTTTCAGAATGACTCAGAGCGTTGGGGATGTTAGGAGCCACTCTCCAACATCTGAACAGGAAATTAAATGTGGAATGAAATGTCCGTAACAGGCGGAAACCACATCTCCAGCTCATCTTAGTTTGAAAAAGATCACGAGGAAGATTGTTGAAGAGACTCTTTTTAATTCTCTGCCTGAGCTCTTCAACCAGTTTGTGTTCAGTCTTCATCACTCACTGTTGTTTAGATCTAGGTTGTGTTTCCGATCTGACTCAACAATGCACCTGTCCTGGCTGTGCTGTGTAAATAAATGTTAATAGATGTTAACAGGTATATACATATAATATAAACATTTATTAATTATGAAATAATAACGGATAAAAAAAATGTCAAAAAACATGTCAAAATCACATCAAAGAATGTCACACCAGCCTCTTTAATTTTGTTGCATTTCTCAGATCAAACTCATTCAAACTAGTTTGTCACCACTGAGGCTCGATCTCCTCAGGCTAATCCTTTTCTCATCAGTTATAATTGGGTGATTTTAGACGTAACCTGTAACCACGAACCATGGTTATCTCAGAAAATGCTAATCATTATTTTAAATCAATATCTTTTTGCATCTATCAGTTGCCTCCAGTTGCTAACTTCAACAGTGTAGAAACATTTTTTTGATCATTATTGCTAGTGGAGCTAGTGGAAAACCAAACAGCCTCATTGTAAGAAGATACAGCTGTAAACCTGAACTGGACTAAAGCCAAAAAAAATAACTTCAGCAACAAAAATCAACAAAATTGATGGAATGGCAGTTTTTACAAAACCGTTCTGTTTCTCCTCCTGAAGTATCTTTAACCTCTGGTGCTGTGCTGCTTCTCTGCAGCCTCACCTTCTGGACCTTCTTCTTTATTTCACTGTAAAAAAAAAAAAATCAATATTTGTACATGCTGTAACTCATATACTGGTATTTTTTCTAACCCTTCCTTTTCAGTTAAAGCAGAAGGAGATGTGCCTCCATCGCCAGCGTCCTCCCACCACAGTAGCAACCAGGCTCCCGGCCTGACAGATGAAATAGGCAAACGAGCCCTACAAGGGAGCCAGAACTCACTTAACACTGTCAGCTCCGGCAGCGGCTCCACCTCCGGCATCGGCAGTGGAGGAGGAGGTGGAGGAGGCGGCGGTGGAGGTGTGGGGGGCAGTGGTAATGCCATGGTCTCCTCCTCTTCTGCCACCACGACATCTTCACAACCCCTCAACTCTGTCACCACCACTGCCTCCACTGCTGTTGCCTCTTCGTCCACACTGCAGCCCTACGATGTGGAGATCCGCCGCGGGGAGAACGAAGGATTTGGATTCGTCATCGTCTCATCCGTGTCACGGCCCGAAGCTGGAACTACGTTTGGTAAGAGATGCCGCAACCACGTGTACGGGATAATTTTAACGGTTAAAGGACAGGCCTTTGCACCTCAACAGTGACGCCCATAAATAATTCACTTGAGTTTCAATGCTTTCTTGTTCATTCAAAGCACATCATATTAAAATGACTCCATTTTAAGATGCATGAGTCTCCGTGAAGGATACCAGTCATTCAGGTCACTTTGTCTGAAAACGAGCCCATTTGCTCAAAACCAAGGACTGGAAAAAATCATTATGAGGGTGGCAGAAGGTACGAACAGTTTCCAGCTGTAATAAGCTGGTGCTGAGTCAATTTACTGAATAATCAGGAAAAGAAAAGAAATCCTCGGGTGTAGCCAGCAGTGATGTGGACAGAGCAGCTTGGTTATTTACCTATTTTATTCTCACTGGCTCTGACTGTGAAAGTCAGAAGTAAAGAACTTTAAATATAAATGTTTTCACCATTAATATAAATAATCATGAAAGATAAGGCTCACAGTCCATTCAACCAAATACACATCACTTTGTTTCATCCTTAGCTGTCGAGTAGAAAGGAATGTAATATGTGAAATATTGTTATTATTATTTACATTTTATTGTGATTATTACTATTCATTACTTTTAAAAGCCTATAAATGTTCTCAACATGTCAATGTGTGATGTGCAAAGGTCTCAGTGATGTTGATACAGATCATTTCCAATTAAAACACACATACACACATACACACACTCTGGCTTATTTCCTATGTCACTAAGGCGTCTTTCTTCTTCTCCTAAGCCTTTATGTCATTCACTAAATCACTGATTACTGAACAGCTTGAGATCCAGCACTGACTGTGGCTGTTAACAATTCACAGGGATCAATGGCAACTCTTCTTTATTTCCTGTTTGGGCCTTAACTGTTCCTGTCCAACCTAAAACACTGAACCCTTCTTGGGTGTATACTGCTGCCACTGTTGCTGCTGCTACTGCTGTCGCTGCTGCTAAACTTACACAGGCCTTGTATAATTGATTACAAGTAAAGGTCGTCTTGCGTAAGACACTTATTTTATTTAAGAACAATAGAAAAGCACAATTTTAAACACACACACAAACATTTGATTCTGGTTAAAAGACCTTACTAACGTCAAATAATTTCAATAAATTGATTCTGCTTTTATTAGACTTTTTAGTTAGTGTATCAGCTTGTTGTCGTCAGGCTGAAGTACATTTTCTCCTGCTCTCAAGTCAACTTATTATTAAGCTAATATTTCCTGCCTTTATGACAAATGTTCTTAATTGACTACAGTTGCTTTTTTTATGACTAAATCTGACCTACTTTGACCAGATCTAATTTGATTTGTCATTGTCATGTCACCTTTTACTGAAATACTACATCAGCATTAAATATTTATTATGTCAGACAAATTCTTTGTGCCTGACACACGCCTCTCTGGAATTTATCTTTACTTAATTATACATTAATACTTCCACTGGAGCCCTGTCAGCTTAAGGCAGATTGGGCCGGAGCCCATGTTCAGTTCTGATCCTGGTGAGATGCTGGACTGTCCACCATAACGTCAGTCTTTCATCAAAGCTCTATGATTAAAAATCTGATTTTAATGCAGTGTTATTACATTGCCACTTTTAGAAACTTAATACTATAGCAGGAGAAGAGAGTGAATGTGGAGAAAGACTTAAAGGGAGAAGTGACACTGGATATGGAGCCGTTTCCCCTTGTGGATAATTTAAAAAACCAATTTGCAGGAAAAGGTTCAGAGAATTACAGTATGACAGATTCTCTTATTTCTTTGTAAAGCTCATTGAAATGCACTCTCTCTCTGTTTCTGCCGATGCTTGCATTTTGGTTGGCTGTAATTCAGAGCTTGTCTCGGTGGCTTTGGCTTTCGCTGGCTGTTGACTCTACGATGTAACCCTGAATCTTCTTCTCTTCTTCTCTGCTTCCTTTTCCCCTTTTTCTCCCCTTTCTTTTCTCTCTCTCTCTCTCTTGCACCAAACAACAACATGCCCTGCATACACATTGAATCATGTACCACACGTGAATGGTGACCATAGCTGGCAATGCATGTGTGGCCATGCCCCACAAAATAGGGCGGATCATTGAAGGCAGCCCAGCGGACCGCTGTGGGAAGCTGAAGGTCGGGGACCGCATCCTGGCCGTGAACCAACACAGTATCACCAACAAGTCCCACTCTGACATTGTCAACCTCATCAAGGAGGCCGGCAACACGGTCACACTACGCATCATTCCTGGAGATGGTGAGTAGAAGAAAATGATCTTATCATACATTTCCTGTTAAAAGAAAACAATGAAACCAAACAAAACTAATTGATGCCTAATTCACTTACTATCATTGTTGCATCTGGAAATTGGTTGATTTTTATTCCATCACTTTAGAGACTTTTATCTTACTGTTTTCTAAATAATTCCAGAATTTAATACTATGATTCCAGAACCAAAAAAAATCCTTTTTTTTTTACACTTGAGGCAGTGTTTCTCCCAGCATCACGTGTAGCAAATGTGATACAAGTGATTTTATTGTGTTAAAATTAATGGCATTGAAGCGTTTTAAACTCAAACCATTGAGAGACATATTATTGTATTTGTATAATGCTGGAAAACCATGCCAGTGTATCCTAGAGGTGCCTCCAGTGAAATGGGAAAAGCATCAAAACCCTGAAGAAGATTTATTCCATCTCCAAAACTCTCTTATAAATAACTAATATGGCTGAGCTTATTTCAAACTTGCCTAGATTTCCTCCTCTTTTATTTTACTTTGGAAGTTGTTACGAGTGCTGCAGCCCTTTCCTCTCTCTCTTTTCTGCTCTGCGATTGGTAGAAATCTGCGACGATATAAGACATGTAGTTGTGAGGTTAGATGGGGCCCAGGGCCAAGAAAAGTATCATAATTGTGACAGTTCAGCTGATTTACATCATGGAGTTTAAAACTAAAGACTTCATCCCCTCAGCCACTTCTGCCCTTTGGTCTTAGTCTTAAAAAAAATGTATTCCTTCAAGACGTCTGCCTGCTAACATTAACTGTGTCACATGAGCCTCGAGCCTATAGCCATAAAATAATTTCTGTATGAGCTGTTCAGCAACTTCTTCTTTCCTAATGTTAAACTAACTGTTGAGTGCTAATAGTTAGCTCTGCTCAGTGGGGCATAGAGAAGTGTTTAACAGTTCATTCATCAACTTTTCTTGAAGGTGAATTTTGATGAAATCTGTGCCATAATAATTAATAGCAGCTTTGTAAGTGCTATTAATCTTCGTCACAAATAATACAGAGAACAGAACATACTGGTTGTATATGAATCTCTCTTCTTTTTCAGTTTCTTTTAGGACATGTATGTGCTGGGTTTGTGTTGTACATATGAATCTATTAGCTGTGGATGTTTTCATCTGACAGATTACCCCTGGTTTTCTTCTCAGAATTTCTGTAATTATGTGTGTGTGTGTGTGTGTGTGCGTTTAGCCGTGCATATGAAACCTGTCAACCAGCATGTTGTTAGAAATTGTAGCTATTTGCCCACCGCTCGCTGTTTTAAGGCTCAAATTTTACGGATGAGGAGCATTGTTTTCCAGAGACAGGGTTGATAAGAACATTGAGCCTAAATTGTTCTGCCAAGAAGAAACATGGAGAGCAGAACAGATGGTGTCAGAGAGAAATGGTAGCATGTAGAATACAATAGAATATGGCTGATCAAAAGCTTCCATTTTGTGTTGTGTCCACATTTTCAATAGAGACATGCAGTGATAGATGGCAGCACCAACGGAGTAAAAGGATGTATATATGTATATGTTCAACACATATTCCTTTTACTCCTTTGAGGAGTATTTGGATCAACCCCAGGGGAAAAACTCAACCTTTGACATGCTTTAGTCCAGCATGTCCTAAACTCTTTCGGCCGCGCACCACCTTCAATATCCCAACCTGGTTGGTGCACCCCTGAATTTCTCACACTTTTGAGAAAAAGAAAACACACACCGCACTTTGGGAATCTCTGCTTTGGTGTATTTGTTTAGTGGGTTTGTTAGGCATTATTGTAACAAATGACTGACAGTTCAATATCACTGGAAAAAAAAGGTGTCTTCAATGTCAACGGGAATTTTAATATATATATATATATTTTTAAATCTTTATAGAAAGCATAGAAACAAGTGACATGAAAGAATACCTGGTATAAGGAGTGGCAGATAAGAACATGATGTTGGTGCAGGGTGTGTGTAAGGCCGAGATTATATTAATCTGGAGTATTTGTGCAGTAAAGCTTGTCGTTTGGCAGTTCACTCATGTCCTGCCCTTCCCTTCCTGTGATGGTGATTGGCAGTTTGACAAATTACGTCGGGCAGGGTTTTTTTGGACCATGATGTTCACAGATGACAGATGCAGTGAGATGAGAAATATCTGAAGAAGTGACTGAAAGCAGAGAGGAGTCATTTGGTAAAAGCAACTAGAAAAAAGTGAAAACACAAATTGAGTGAAATTGTACAGAAAGATAGAAAATACATTAGAGGTAAAAAAAAAGTGTGAAGGTAAAAGGAAAGTAAAAATGGAAAAGTCTTTGAAAAGGCAAGATTGAAATAAGTGTGACGTGTTGAGCAGAGACATTGGAGCTGATGGACACTGGACGTTGGAGATGGAGGACTGGTGCTCAAGGAAAACAATGATCTCAGAAGCAAATAAAGTTGGTTGGTATAGCAGTAGATGAGAGTGAGGAATTAGGATTAAATAAAGATTCTTAATCCACTGTAAGTCAACAAATTCAATTCAGACAGTAAATGGAGTAGCTTCCTCTGTGCTGATACATTCCCTGTAATCCTTTAGCACAACCTGGAGTATTTGAAGGAGCCGAGCGCTCTCACATATCTTGGCTCATTCGAACGGTGCCTAAACTCATTCTGTCTCTTCAGGATGAGAGGACAAATTACAGAAACATCTCAGCGGCTTTCCTGTGGTCTGAAAATGTTTCTTAGTAAGAGGAGAAAAGAGCCAGTGGCTCGTGAACGGAACAAAAAGACAGACAGAATTAAAGCTTATTTCATTAATTTGCCAATGGTAGAAGTGCGGAAGCATGAGAATGGAAAAACAGAACGAGGCCGAATGAATGGAGTGGTCCGAGCAAATTGGCCGTGGGAGGAAGTAGTGCTCAACGTCTCTACTTCTTACAGTATTGACCCTCAGTACAATGGAAACTAAACTAATTTAAGTTACCTTTTCTCAAAAGTAGATATTGGAAAGATCACTTGTTTTATTAGGTCTCATAGAGGGTACCTCTGGTTACCTGTGTGGATACTGCACATTGTAACAGTTGAATTTTTAGTCAGTCTTATATATAAGTGATTCAGGGAAAGGACTGTCAGGGCGTTCTCTCTGTCCTTCTGTCCTTCTGTCCTCTGTCCTCTGTCGAAAAAAAAAAAACTGTCCTGCAGACCATAATAAGCAGATGAAAATGAGACATGATGAGAATGAACAACGGCCACATCGATAGTTCCTTTTAACCAGTGGACTGAACAGGAATAGACAAACTCTACTCTAGATTTCCAGTAGAGATAAAATTATCTCGGTTTCTTAATGAAAATGTCCAAATCTAAATCTGTCCTCGGCCTCTCTGCATCTTGAGTGGTTATCTCAAAGGTAAAGGGTATTTAAAAACTGTAATCTCCAAGAGAGCAAAGGGACTGATCAGGGTAAAAGGTGGAAAGATGAGAGAGGGATTAACGTGAGAGGAATGAGGAGCAGGGAGTCAGAGGAGAACTGTGGAGTGTTGTTTCCAAATGAAGGATGAAGGTAGATAGATAGTCTGCTAAAGACGTAGAAGGACGCGTACTGTCCCCGCAGAGGAGCAATTACGATCTTTCAAACGCTGCACTGATAGAATCAGATGAAGTCATGTGTGAGCTCATCTCTTTCCTGGTGGACAGTTTACACGCAGGGAGAAACGTGTCGGACCAAATTGAGATTAAAACCATTTGGCATTGAAATTTGACAAGTGACTCCATGGAATCACTGACAGCACAAACAGCGTCCAGATTCTTGACTGAGAGGGAAAAAAAAAAAACCATGCCAGGAGGAAACGCATCGTCTCAGCTGCACTAATGTGAAGATGACAGCTGCTCAATATAAACTAGAGTTTCCACTAAACAATCAAAGTTCTCCACGTGTGATGGATGGATTAAACTTCAGTACACTTTGACTCTAAGAGTGGAGTTTAATAGAATTCACATGATGTATTGAAAAGTCTTGGTGTAAATTCACTGGAGCATGAGTTTTGATTTTCTCAGAAGGTTAGAAGTTTCTCAGATGTGAAAAATGTTTTTGGCGAGCTGTAATAAAGTAAAGCTACACTTCACCTAAAATGTTCTTGAAATGTTTTTTAACTTTTATAGATTGTTAATCTGTTTATTAGATCAACACACACTTCAGGAGAATCTCTAACCCAGGTTTTTCAGGCTGTCCTCACTGATTGTCTTTCTATCTTTTAGAGTCCTCAAATGCGTCTTTATTAACCAACGCGGAGAAGATCGCCACGATAACGACCACTCACACACCTCAGCAACAGGCTGCACCTGAGGCCAGGTGAGCTGCATTCTGGGATCTTGTGTTCCTCATTTAACATGTTTTGTAAAAGTCTTTTTTAAATAGTGCCTCAGTAGCCACTGAGCAAGAGGCCATTTTCCAAAAAAAAAATCCTCATAAAACTATTGAAAAACATAATTTATTGCGGCCTAGTGCCAAGTGATCCCCGGTCCGGTACTGGTTCATGACCCAGTGGTTGAGATCCCTTGCTTTAAGACATGAACTCAGCCTCACTTAAACAAAAAAGAAAGACAGATTTTACCAGTCTGTGGTGAGTTTGAAAAGTTTGAAGTACTGTGGCGAGTCAGTCGTAGCTACTTCTCAATTCTCTTTCATTAATATTGCTGCTTAATATTAAAAACAAATTAAAGCTTCATCATCGTTACATTTTTGAAGAGTGTAGACTCTGATGCAGCCGTTGATGTGAAACACTCTCAACATCACAGGAGTCGTCTTTTACGGCTTTATTGTGTTAAATAAAATAAATAAATATTCATAAATATAATAGATAGATTATATCAAATTTTAAAAACAATAAATAAATACATTTAGACTTATGTTTTTGACTGAAGTCTTCCCCTCTGTCCCAGGACCAACACTAAACCAAAACAGGAGTCGTTTGACTTCAAACCCCCACAAGGACCTCCTCCTCAGCCCCCGACACAAGTCTCTGCTCAGGTGAGAAACACAATCATGCACCTGTCATTTTCATTCTCACCCGTCTCCATCAAACACCCCAGCTGTCAGCGCTCCGCCCACATCCACCCTGGTCACAGATCATTGTTCCCGTGTCCCTCCACACTTTAGCTCGCAGCTACTCTCAAGGACAAACGAAAGTCCTGTTATTATACATTTATTTATCTGTTTGCGTCTGTTGTGCGCCTCCCTGCCAGTGTTATCTGAGTCGCTGCTTTCAGGGTAGACTCCTCACTCCAGCGTGTTGCCTGCTGAATTAATCTGCTGCTGTGAAGATAGCTCTCACAGATAGCATTGATCGTTCGGCGAGGGAGACTGGGAGGGCATGAAGATCGGGACCGTCTGCTCGTCCTTGTCTTTCTCCTCTTTTTCTTCCTCTTTACCTTTGTCTCTCTCCCTCTCTCTCCCCGTCCACCTCCAGCCTAAAGCATCAATAATTCAGCAGCAGCACTCCTGAACACACACACACACACACACAGCATAGAAAGTCTCTTCTTCTAAATAAGTCTGATTTTTTTTTCTGTTCTGCTGCAGGTGACATTTGTCTGAGCTCCTGAAATTGGAGCCCACAGTTTCACAAACACACAATTCAAATCTGATTTACAAAAGTCACCTTGATGCAAACATGGTTTCCTCCTCCTCATTCCATTTGTTGTTCTGGTTCCTCTCTATCTGCATCAGGATGCTGAGTTCTACTCTGTGGATCTGGAGCGAGACAGCAAAGGTTTCGGTTTCAGTCTCCGAGGAGGCAGAGAGTACAACATGGACCTGTACGTGCTGAGGCTGGCAGAGGAGGGCGCTGCTGTACGCAACGGAAAGATGAGGGTAAGACAACGTAACCGTGCAGCGGAGATCATATAGACTTCAAAATCAGCCGTGAAGCATTAGGTGGACGGTCCTCTCTATGTTGACCTCAGGGATGACTTTAAGTGTGAATGGTTGTTTGTCTCTATATGTGATGGAGTAGTAAACTGTACAGTATGCACACACCATCGTCTGATGACCGTCAGTAACCCCCCTGCCCCCCTTTTCTTCTCCCTCTTTGTTATTTCACCCCTGCTGTCTCACCTATCTTTCCCTGCACAGCTGACCTCTGAATTGAATGTTTCAAAATTCCCTCAGGGTTAGTCTTTTCACCCTCAGTCTTTTCACCGTCAGCCTTTTCACCGTCAGCCTTTTCACTCTTAAGCAACATTCATTTATGAATGTGCTAAAAGAACCATGGTTTGCAGGTGTAAGTACAGTTTCAAAGCTAAATGTTTGCAGCTTATTAGCAGAGATATTAATAGCTGCTGCAGGAGCAGGAGCAGCAGGACTGTGAAGCACGGAGAGACAAGTGTCAGACACAGATCATAAGTCAGCCAGAGGAATTCCCTCAGTGCACACCGTGCTGACAGATAACTTGAGGCATGGAGCCAAGCTAAGAATAAGAAGCAAGAAAGTGTATTTCTTTTTCTCCTCCTGTTTCTTTTTCCTTCCTTATTTTACCATTTACTCTCAGCGGCACCTACGCTGCCTTCCCCTGCAGTCTGCTCTCTCAGAAAAATGTTATTTTAGAAAAAAAAGGAGCAGTTGTGCGGTTTGTATTTGACAACATCTCCTCTAGTCTAAGATTTGATTTAATTTGGATTCTCTGCTCTTCTCTGACCAGTTTGTCTTCCGCTCTTCTCACAGGTCGGCGACGAGATCCTGGAGATCAACGGCGAGAGCACAAAAGGCATGAAGCACGCGCGGGCCATCGAGCTCATCAAGAGCGGAGGCCGCCGTGTCCATCTGGTGCTCAAAAGGGGCGACGGCTCCGTGCCTGAATATGGTGGGTCAATCTATGAAAACATTCCCTTCTCACCAATCTTCACACCCTGAGCCAGGGGGACGCTCTCTAGTGGACGGTGGTGGGTCAAAGGGAAAAGAGGGGGAAAGAACTTTTTTTTTAATTAAGAAAAAAAAAAAAAGAAAAAAAAGACCCCTGTCTACCCTTCACTCACCTCTGGGACTCATCCACCAGGGAGGGTAAATGTGTTGCCTCGGTGGTAAATCTCTCTCTGGTGAAGGTCACTCCTGGGTTTTGGGACTCTTGATGAGGTGTGAGGTGGAGAAGGAGATGGAGAAGTTTGACGTCTTCTGTGTCTCGTTCTCTGCTGGGACCTAATACAAAAGGTGGTGGGTGTGATTTCAGTGCTACATGATAATGGGCCGTGTCCACATTACTCTGTTCAACATGTACTTTCTGGTCCACGTGGGGTTAACGTCCACACGTCGGTCGGTCTTCAGCTGCAGTATTTGTCCAAAACCAAACGTCTTTGACAGGTTGATCCAGTAAACCGTGTCGACCCTGATCTAATCTAGTCCAGTCAACCACAGTCTTGTTATGCTGCACTGAGGTTGTGTATAAACATTAGAGACATCTAATGGTGGGAGTGCAGAATGCAACTGTCACGTTTTTCTTTGCCTTTCAGTTTTTAAAGAAATGTAAGATTTTGTCTGCTAGAGCACTGAGCCAAAGTGAGTGTGCAGTCACAGTAAGGTCTGCTCATCTGAACAGGGTTAGAGGCATCACTAAAGATACTACAGTGAAAACTGTAGACCTGTTCATAAAATACTCTGATGTCATAGTTTCTGCTTGGTTGGACTGAAATTATTAGACCCTAAAAAAAAGTCACAGTATTCCTGTGACCTAAGGGGACGTGCTAGTGACACCGACCTGTGTGGACCCTGCCTTAATGTGGATGTAGATTTTTTCTTTCTTCTGAAAACATGGTAGTGTGGATGTGGCATAGAATCAATATTCAATGATCGACTGAGTTTTTGTTTCTCACGGAGAGAACTTCAACAGGCTCCGTTTTTTTTTTCTTTCTTTTTCTTAAACACTCGTGGATCTTTAGGAGGAAGATCAATTCCTGTCGTTTTTGTCCCCTCTTAGAGACGTGTCACAGCTCTGATTAGGACCATATTTATAATATTTATTTATGGTGAATGTAAGCTACTGAACTCTTGAGGTCTACGGATCTGAACTGAGAGAAAAGGCTGTGTGATTTCTTTTTTTTTGGGCAAACACGATACTTTTGCTGTTCTTGACATAATTCACTAACCCACCGATGTTATTTGCACTCACTGTTACTGTTGTTCTAAAAGCTGTGACCATAAAAAAAAAACATCACCAATCGAACACAGTGAGAGCCACTCCAGTTAGATACAGGTTTTGTACAGTGACAACGAAAAAATATATAGAGGCATTTTTACCATTATTTTTGTTCCTTGTACAGAGCTGTGAAATGAAGCCACATTTAATGGAAACAAGTCTACTGATGCATGAACTTGTCAAATGTGTAAATTGGACCCCCCCCCCCATCCCCCCACCCGCCCCCTCTTCAATTGTCCATAATATTTATGGAGCGTTGTCTGTACTGTGTGGATCATTTTTGATTGACATTCACGAGTCATGTTTGATGTTTGTTGCTTTATTTTGGGCTTTTCATGTCCTGAACAGTTCATGGCTGTGGTTTAGGGGGTTGAATAAGAACGTGCCGTCTCTAAGTGCATCAGTACCAGGGCTGTCCCAAATACCATTCATTAATCACACTTAGCTCATTTTCTTGTGATCTCAGTAGAAATATAATGGCCAGATTGGTATTTAATAACAGAACTCTTAATAATAATATTTTTTTTTTTTTACACATTTTACAAACAGCCATTTGACCAGTGTATTCGGGCCAGCCCTCTCTGATTGGATTAAATGTAAAAAGTTGGACATTTTTGCATTGTTAAAATTTTATTTTAGAATTATTTTTTTTAAATGTTTTTTTTTTTTACTGGTAATGTAAAACTGCTTCATATTCTGTTGTGGTGAATGTGGGAGCTGCGCCGTCTTTATCTTCAGTTCCTGGGTTTTCTGCTGCTTCCGTGTTCACATCATTGGGTGTGTGAGTGTATTTCTGTGTTTGTCTTCATGTGCAGGACCTTTCTTTGTAACTGCTGTTTTTTTCACTGAAGGTTTGGGTGAACTCTCCTGGACTGCCTCTTCAGTCTCGATGACTCAGTGATCAAATAAACACAAATTTTTGTTCATTGAAAAAAAAAAAAATCAACACAATCATTTCCTGTTTCTTGTTTCCTTACGTGGGTTCCAGGGGTTCTAAACTACTGTGCTCTTCTCTTTTTGTTCTGTTTCCCCGTGTTGCGCTGGGCTCTTGTCTTCCTTCAGGGATGGTTGCTCCCCATCTCACTGCATGTATGAGAAATGACAAGATGGGGGAGGCCTCTGTCCTCCAAAATCAGACCACGGTTTGTAGCTGTCCCTCCCTGTCATCTGGCACCTCCTCTCGTTCTTCCACTCCCTGTCAAACTTCCTCTGTTTCTCTCACTTCATCCATTGGTTTGTGGTGTAGCCTCCAGTCACCTGTGCCTGTGCTCGATTCCATGCATACAAATCCATTTACCCCAAATGCACCGCCATTATCGCCGCTGCCAAAGCCACTGTGATGAATTCCATGTGCATCCTGTGTGTCTGCACCGGTCGCATTTAAATCTTGGATCAGTTAAACCGAAAGGGAATTCAGCAGTGCGTATTTGTTTGAGTTGCCAGGTTTAATGACAGGTTTAGAACGGCAGATAAAGACTTTCAATGACTTTCTCCTGTGTCCCTCACACGGAGCTGCGATCAGGTGAAAATATTTCTTGATAGTTCAGATGAGGGTTATTAAATCTTCAGTCTGGAAACACTCGTCGTGATTTGTTTGCTCCTGAATGTCACAGTTTAACAGCTGAAAAGTACATTTGTTAGAAGTCACACGACCTGGTTTATTGGAGGGAACGATGTTTGCAGCAGAGAGAACGTCAGATTTATAGCAGTAGACCTGTTGCTGTACTGAGTCTGAGTAATTTCAGTTTTTCCTAACGTGATATTTCAAGGACTAAAGTCAGTGAGTAACGCATCTATATAAACTGATGGTGGCAGTAATGGGTTATCTTTTCCCTCCTGCTAAGTTGTGAAATGGATACGTTTTTTTTTCTTTGCATTGATACAGAAGCAAAATAAGAAAAAAGCGAAACATGCTTAAGACTAGCCATTTCCTGATCGCTCTAATATTAGCATAATTATGTAATATCTGCAAAAGTCGCTATCATATCTGATAATAAAACCCAAGGATGCAATGCTTGGGTTTCGCCAAATATTCTTGAATCTTGTGGGGTATGAAACACTTACCTTACTTTTGGGGGAAAACAGCAGCATCGGTATACCTTGATCAAAAATGAAGTGTTTGGAAAGTATCGGACAACCTTGATCAGAAATGAAGTGTTTGGAAAGTATCGGACATCAGCTAAATTTAATTTCAGACATTCCTATCAAAACCCATTATCCCAGTCATGGCAGATTCATACCAAGGCAGTGATGAGCAGCTTGACGACAGTAAACACATGAATGAGGTTAAAACCAAAGAGATAAAAACATTAGAGGAAATCCAAAAAAACTGCCCTGAACCGAGTCTTTGCTTTAACACAGCCATTAATAACAGCCTCTAACAGAATGAACCTAAGGTTTCATGACAGTGCATGAAAGAGCATGGCTAATCAGTGTGACCAAGCAACATCACCAACCTGCAGTGAGTTGATTCTAACTATTCCTGTCCTCTGTTCCACCTTGACAACTGTCCACGGCCCACGCTGTAGTACAGAGGTGTCAGCGGGCTGTGACTCCAGCCTCACTTCTTCTTCTCACTCTAGCGCTCATGTGAAAGCTCCACCTGCAACCGGTTGCAGTCATTGGCTGCTGCTTCGTCATCTTAACAACTAGCCATCTTTGCTGGCATTAACATGAGAATGGCTTCCATGAGAATGTCCTCAGCTTCTTCTCTGAGTGATTGAGCATGTCTAAAAACTGTGGAAAAATGATCATAGAGTCTTTTTCATCCCCGTGCCCTGGTTTGTATGTCACACTGTGTTGCAGACACCAGCCCTAACGACAGCAGCAGCACAGCCGCAAGGCTACAAAACGCTGAGGAAGTGAGCAACCTGCCCACGACCAACGCACCGATGGAGTCAAGCTCCCCACCAGAACCCCACCAACCATCCCGGACCAAAAAGGAGTCGAGCCACAACCGCACCGGCAAGCAACACCACCACCATTCCAAACACCGTCACAGCTCACCTCACAAGAAAACTACCAGCACCGGAAAACACAAGGAGAAGTCCAAGAGGGACCCGCTGGGAGTGTTCAAAAAAAAGGATTCCAAGGATAGCAATGGCCACCACCACCACCATACTAGCCGCCAGCACCAACACCAACACCACGGCCGCCATCGCTGTCCAGACAGGAAGCACGGGCGGTCTTACAGTGCTGAGAACACCCTAGATAACCGTCACACAGGACATCGACACGGCCGCTCCCCCGACAGACACCGAGGCCACCACTCTCCTCGCACTCGTCACCGCTCTCCTTATCGCTCACCCTATAGATCGCCATACCGCTCTCCCAACCGCCACAGGTCGCCCCATCGCACGAGGCACCACTCCCCCACCAGATACCGCACCCACTCTTCAGACCCATATCGGCGGTACAACTCACCTGAGAGACAGATCCGCAACAACGAGAAGCCCAACGGAGTGGAGGCAGTATTGAGGGAGACGTCAAAGACTCCTGAACTCAGCCTCCCCTTTGAGGACAGTGTTCTCCGTGATCCCCCAGCCCTGGACCGCCTGAATGATGATCTAACGCTGCCGTCACTGCGCAGGGACGACCGCCTGTACGGAGAGGACAGCCTGTTGAAGAGAGCCTCCTCTTTGGAAAGAGCCTACAGAGGGGACAACCTGCTGAAGGAGGTGGCTTCTCGGGGCCAGAGGGACGCCTACAGAGACATCACACTTCCCAGAGTACGCACGCCTGAATCCGATTCTGCCTACAAGAGATACAGTTCGCTGCTGAGAGGACGCTCGCCTGAGAGGACGGTAAGGGATGAGCGCTACGCCAGCAGAGACAGCACTCCGGAGCTGGGATACAGAAGGCACAGTCTGGGACGAGACATATCCCCCATCAGGGTCTCCAGAGGAGAGGACTCAGAGGATGAAGAGGATGATGACAACTTTGTTGCGTCCAAAGTGAGAGAGTACTACAGCACGCTGAAGAGCAACGCCAGTCAACCATCCAAACCTACATATCCTGAGCCCAAGAGGACCTACAAGGAGAACCCCAAAGACCTGAGCATCTAATTGGACGGCCGTTAGCCAATCGAAGTAACGACCAACCATACACCTCAAGTACTCGCTCACTCGACCACTTTATCCCGAAGAAACACAACTAGCTATATATACAGTACACGCATACACTAACACAGACGTGATGATGAGTTACGAACAAGACAGTGATTCCAAGATGATTTTTGAAGGATGTTATTTCTCTTTTATTAAAGTGTTTGTTTTGATTTTCTTTAGTCCCTTCTTATCTTCTATGTTGAGGTTCTTTTTTTGTTTTTGTTTGTTTGTTTTTGGTCAGACACTGCATTTACAGTAACTCGAGATGTTTTCCAGAAAATGTAAAACCACAAAAAAACTATGATGTGCCTAAAAGTTCCATAACCGAGCAAAATTTGGTTTTTGATTTGATAACGTGGCAGGTGCTTTACAACAGAGAGCTGCCGAAATGAAGGAAAGATACATGTACTTTTCCAAGAGAATCCCAAGGAATACTGCACACCGGGAATACTGTACCTGGTGCTCACAACGACGCTGTGCATGTCCTCACCCGTTTCAATGTCTCTCTCTCTCTCTCTCTCTCTCTCTCTCTCGCCCCTTCCCTATTCAGTGCCACTGTTTTTTAGACATATGACCAGATTATAGCACAAGCCTGCATTTGTTTGTATATTTTTGACAGTTTGCAGTATGTGTACATTCAGAGGTAATCATTTTAAATGAATGAAGGGGAAATTAAAAGTTAAACTATGATGATGATGATGTTAAAATAAAATAATATATTCAACAAATGAGCAAATGTGTGCTTGGTTATCTCTGCTTTTTGTCTGAAAATAAACGTTAAACATTTATAACAGCATCTTGTTTTAAGCTGCCGTATTCAGACTTTTTACTCAGGGCCACATTTGATGGAAGATTTCAAACGTGTGACGATCCTCCAGGAACAGAGTAAACTTTGTATATTCACTAACTTTTCAAACTTTTTAGTACTGCTGTTTTCAATGATTTGAAAGCTGGTTAAAATAAAAGGACGAGGCGTCTTTGACATAAAGGAAAATAAATAGACAAAGTACCACAATGCAAAGGGGCCAACGACACTTCCCTGTGGCACCTTTCCGGTTCTATGCTGCAAGAGGTTTGAAAGACCTGGGTCGATGGCAGCTTAGATAAAAGAGTGTTCATCTGCAAATTGTTCCATAAAGAATTTAGATATTGCTTTAGTCTAACACTGCAAAACATATTGGACTTGTCCTGCAATGTAGATAGATACAAATGCATGGGCAAATTCATATAGTTTCAAATCAGAACTCTCTTTTCAGGTATTTACCTTTAGAGTGGCTGAATGCCTGATATTTCCTGCAGTCAGAACAGACCAAAATGGCCCAGTTTCCTTATTTAACTGCATTTTAACTGCTCAGGATACAAGGACATGGGAGGTTGAGAACACTAGAATGAGTCGCGTTTACTTATTGAGCTGCAGTGTGAGGGTAAGACTAAGGTTCAACAACCAAACTATATTTAAACAACCCTTTCTAACGGCTTGACTTTCACTTGAAGGGTTTTCATCAAGAGCACATCTACAGTGGAGATGCTTATGTCATCCAACACTCGTGTTCTCCCACAGAGCAGCAGCAGCAGCAGCAGCAGAGACTAAATAATGAATGAAATTCACTTTCCAGCCCTGAAACACTCTCCTCCCCTCTCTTGAAGCCCACTCTCTGTAAGGATGCGCTCCAGTCCGACCCGCCCTCTAGTGCATGGACCAAGGTCCCTCTTTTATTACCTTTGCAGCCTCCTCTCAACCAGGAATGATTAACAGTCCACTGCCAGTGACAGCTTATCACGTCAGTAGTAGAGAAGGTAATGAATTGCCATCCCCACCATCACCATTCAGTTGAATGTAAACAATTTTCCACTTGTGACCCTGGCGACCTTGGAAATCCTCTGCTCCAAACACCAGAGCATGCAACTGAATTTAAGATACACGTCTTTAGGAGTAAAGGACTGAAGGGAAAGACACACATCTTTAGGAGTAAAGGACTGAAGGGAAATGATAAACTAGTGGTCAGCTGCACGGGTAAAAACATGGAAAAACACGGTCAAAACAAAATTAAGATTCTGTTTGAGCAACGCAAAAAAAAACATCATTTTTCTCAGATGAATATTTAGTCAAAATGTTTTATTTAAAGGGAAACTCTTTAAATTAAACACACCGAAATAACTGCTTTTTATATCGTGTTGCCTTTCCCTCAGGCTCAATCTCTTACATCCAATGGGGGGCAGGGAGGCAGGGCCTGGGGTACTGCCTCCCTCCCCCCAATTGGCTCGCTAACGCCGGGACTGGTGTCAGTGTGGTGCAGTTTTGATCTACGTATGTATTGACGATTGCTCCGCTGCTGCTTATGTGCCCCGCAGTGACATCTTGTGGCAAAAGTCTGATACTGCACCCACTGTGTGACCTCATCGCTGCAGATTGGCTGTTCCGTTGGTCCCGAGCAGTAGAGTCACAGGGCGGACAGGGTCACAGATCAGTCGGTCTGCAGCAGACACACTGTAGCCTCGTGAGCAGTAACCGTGCAGCTCAGGTGATTCCACTGCTGCTCTGAAATCAGAGCCCTTCCATCGACGTTCCATCACGACGTTGTCACCCATTCAACACCTGAGGCCAAGGACTGCGTCAGGAAGACGGATTATTGTGTCACGGGAAGAATGTGTGTTGGTCGTGATGAGGGTGTGAGATTAGTCCAGAGGAAATAGTTGTTTACTGTATTGATTCACTCAGTAGAACATGCAGACAAGGAGCCTTGGACTGTCAAAAACCCCAACAACAGGGACATTTGACGGACAGATAAATACAAGTTTGAATGAGCGAGTGTCAAAGGAGTCTTTTCTCCGCCTGTTTAAAAGTCTGCTAGTTAGCTGACCTTCACACAGCACAGAGAGTTATAATATAAAACACAACACATTTATTTATTTTTTTAAATCATTGTTTAATACCTCTGAACTTGAATGCTTATTAGATCTGGACCTTTTGACCATGATGTCAGTGAAGAAAAGAACCACAGGAACCACGATGACACAAGAACAACAACGAGCCAACAAAGACAGAGTGAGGGGTAGTTACAGTCAGGTGAGACTGAAGAAGAGAGAGTCACAGGACACAGGTGAGGGTAATGACACTGATTAACCAGCAGAGGCAGACAGACAGGACAATACGGCTCATATTTTCAAGTACAACCAAAACCTGTCCACAATCTTTTCTGGATATCTTGTCCCATTGGTAACTATTTAAATGCCTTTTTCTTTCAACTTTCTATTTAACTATTTAAATAGTAGGAATACGTTCTTGTTCTATATACAAATTTAAACTTACTTTTGTATTGTTACTTGCAGTAATCTCCCAGTCCCACTTGGACTCAGAGCTGTGGATTGTGGGATGCTCATGAAACAACTGGCTGATTTGGTTTTATAGAACCACCAACCGTCGTCCAGCAGGGCGTCTGCAGGGGGGGGATCTGTGTGAGTCAAGTCGGCGACTTACCCACGAAGTACTGACTCCATTTGCGGTGAGTGTGTGTGTCCAGCAAACACAGCCGCACACACGAACACTTTGCCTTTAATTTGAGCTATTGTTAAATCAACGTGCGGTGTTTTCCACAGTCCTTTCTGCATCACTACTTCAAAGTGCTGCTTGATCTGCATCAGGGCAGAGATTAAAAGACAGACAGCAGTTTTCCAGACTCTGAGTCATGAGCTGAATCTGCACTGAAAACATGTTAGAAGATCAAACCTTTCCTGATTATTCTCAGATTTGATGTCAACTCCAGGTAAACAAAAACTCAGGAAGAAGTTTCAAAATAACAAACTGACCATTGTGTGGATTTATAGTGTTTGATGTTATATAGAAATGATATACGTATATATGCCAATGTCCACACTCATGTGCGTCCAATCAGGTGACTGACATCTGTAGCTTAGATCAGCCATGCACACAAAAAAGATTCAATTAAAATAAATACAAAGTCAATGTCAAGTTTTGCCATGAAATCTGACTGAGCTGTCAATCACAGATGACACAGGTGTTTTTACCTTCCATTTCCTGTGTTTATCTCTAGTTCAATACAAGCATATATGTATTATTAATTTTATAAATTATTAATTATAATTAATTATATATATATGATATATAAATACTATAACATTTTTATTCCTGCAGAAGGTTAAACCTCAGACCTTTAAACCCAAACTTTTCTCTTATCTCTCTGTTTCCTTTAACAAAGTCAGTACAACCTGAGGTTGAGTCGCTGTAATCTCACTGAACAGTCACGGAAACACAAGGCCGGTTTTCAAAATCGCTGATTTAATTCAGTTGCTGAGGTATGACCTTGGTGCACGGAACTGTCTCGACACTATCTAATTTACACAATCAGTGCACACACACACACACACACACACACACAAACTGCTTTTGTGAGGACAAACATGACATCCAACATTTTCAGTACAGATACAGAATCAACACTTTCAAAACTTAACAACTTCAAAGCCCCCCCCCCCCACAGGCTGAGAGACTTCATGTGTTCCTCTACATTCTCTTTGTGTTGTAGAGTTATTGTCTTGACACCCTGTCCATGAAGACCTTGGACACTAGAAACATGTCTTTGTTTTTTTGTATTTCAATAATTTAATATTTACAATTTGGTCGTTTAATTTTTTCACCAGTTTTGGTTTAAATGATGTAGTGAGCACACAGTTGACTCTGATGTACGTGCGTGTACTTGGTAGACTTCCACAAATGCTCGATCTTGACTCTGATGTACGTGCGTGTACATGGTAGACTTCCACAAATGCTCGATCTTATCATTTAACGTCTCTTTTTTATTGTGATTATGTTCAAAAAGAACGGGTAACTTTAGATCAGAGGAACTATAAAAACGTATCTAACAGTTTTCTTTCCTTAGCTAACAGGTTGTATCAGCATGGGAAACCAAAATGAAACGCAGGAAAGTAATGCATCGTATCGTACTGATGAAGCATCAGTTGATCAAAGTCTCCTTCAGACTGTGACGTGGGTTTTTCCCCCAAGTCTTGAGTCACTGTGGACTAATATCTCAGTTGTGTCTTATTCCAGTTTGACAGATGGACGCTGTTAGTAACTGGCTGCTTATCACGGAAGCCTTCAGTGGAGGAGGAAACAAACACGCTATAACAGTTTAGTAGAGAACAGTGACGCTGTAAAGACTTGATGACATCATCGTCTGTCTGCTGTGTATCTGTGCACGACTATGGCCTTGATGAAGTAAGGCGACAACTGCTGCTGTAGCTGGGAGAAATGATCTGAAATAAACAAAAAGTAGTTCTTTGGACTCTGAGACTTCCTCAAAGAAGAGACAACAGGTTTTGTTGTTTCTGTTTCTATGGTATCTGGTTTGAACCTAAATCGTTCTGCCACCTTGTGGAAGGCTTTTTGCCGCCCAGCTCATCTTTAATTTTCTATGTATGTTTATATTTTGGACCCATCTGAATGTGTGACATAGATATTTATGGACTTCAAATTCATTCAAATTCAGCCAAGAGAATGAGGAGGTTCTCCTTTGTCGTGGATGAAGTTGGCACTGCAGGGTGGCTACCTGACATTCCTCATCAGTCCTGGGTTGTTTTCCTGTCTCCATCTTGTTAATCACTGTGATTTGTGAGTCGTTCTAAACCAGACAATCTGTTTGAGTTTTGTTGCACGAGGTTTTTCTATTTGTTTGATTGATATCTGTGAGCAGAGGAGGGAGAGACACCGGGAGGCCACTCTGCTATTCAGTTTCAGTCTTTGACATGAATATTAAGTGAGGCCTCAGTCTGAGGCCTCACTTAATCTGATACACAACCTTGACCAAGTCTGGTGCTACAACAAACCCTGAGAACGTGCCTAAGGTCTGATACACAACCTTGACCAAGTGTGGTGCTACAACAAACCCTGAGAACGTGTTGAATCTGCAGTGAAATGGTAATATTACAGCTGTTGGCAGATGTTGACGATGAAACAGTTCTACTAGAAGGATCTTGATTCTGTGTCGGCAGTGATTCAATAGAAAACCAAGTGTGGAACTGAGGACGTCAGCACAGACATAAACATATGTGCAGAACATGAACGTGGGCTGGGAGACTGTGGTGAGGTGTGCAGTCAGAGTGTCAGATAGGTTCAGGTTGGGTTATGTCAAACATCGGACGTGGAACGCTTTACTCTTTACAACGGTGACTGACAGGTCAAAAGGTCAAGTCAGGGAGGTGTCTCTCTGGACCACAATACATGGAAAGGCTGGGGGTCTGCTCACCAGAGAAGGAGAAGAGGAGGATGATGATGAAGAAGAAGAAAACAGAAATGAATGAATGAGAGTGCGGCAGGTTGACTGTTGACTGTGGTGTAGTGATGGTGGACGGGAAACAAATGGACAGTTTATAAAGAACGATTCAGAGAAGGGGCGGGACGGGGGTGATGCAACATAGCAAGTCCTATGAAAAGATTTACAGAACAATAGAGAGACGTTCTATGATGTTTCATAGAATTCTGTGGAAATGACTGCAGGACAATGGACGGAGTTAAAGAGACCGGGAAGTCCAGGAATAGAAACAAGATTAGAGTTTCAGACATATGCTGAGTTCTGAGGACATAATGGACAGGAGAGATCCAGATAGGATTCTTGATTGGACCAAGAAAAGATGTCGATGATCAATATGGAATTCATGGATAAATCTGTTTGTATTAAGAACTTCACCTTGACCTTCTTTTAGTTTTTGATCATTTGTCCAACCTAAATATAAACGGTCTCTCTGTCGTCGCTGTTGTGAGTACGTTTTATAATTTTTTTTTCTTTTAACTCTTCAGCAGAAAGAACAAATGTCTCTTTGATTCCTGCATCTACACAGCAGAAAAAACCAAAGATTGTGATAAGAGTCATGTCCACTGATATTCTAAATCCTGCCTTTATACTGCACCACATTTTTCACCTTAGACAACGGCAGGATCCTGACTGGTCTCCTCACTCCTACAATAACACTACACTGTAAATCCCTGTGGTGTTGTTACACAGACACAGTAATAAACCAAGCAGCAGGGAGACAGAAAAAGAGACGTGCAGTTGGAGAAAGAATAAATCTAACATTTAATGCTCATTAAAAGGCTGAAATACGACCAGTCACTTTAGTGAATTCTTCATGTGAGTCTGTTTCTATGACAAATGACTGACTGAGTTTTAAAAAAGAATAGTGGGGTGGGGTGGGGGGGGGGGCAATAAATCAGTCTTGTAATCTAGTTGGGAAATATTGAAAAGTACAATAGACAGTAACAGGAAGAGCAGTCAGGAGTGTTTCCTGTTTCTGTTTACTGCTTTACATCATTGGCCGTGAAGGCCTTGATTCATATGGGATGTCTTCATGAAGGACCTCCCGTATGACATTCATGTGAGACATCAGTAGGTGGCGGTGGTGTGGACACACTGTACTAATGGGTGAGAAGTTGACCGTCGTCCAGATGTGTCCAGACCTGAGTCACGTTGACCAGCCCAGTAGACTGTGGACATCTGTAATGGTTTCCTCAGGTGTGAGCAGTCACCGTCAGACCCTTAGTTTGGTTCAAGTCTGGTTGTTGTTGAAGATCACTGCTCTCTAAACTGCTGCTGCTCCTGTGACACAAAGTGAATTATGTCAACTGATATGGACGCAGGTGGCTAACAGCTATAGATATAGCAATTATTTGCTCAAATTAACCAGAAATGCATAGCCACAATTCACTAAATAGAGGCCAAATAAAACAAAAAGCTAAGCTAAAACATCTGAACGTCAGCAAAAATGACTGAATGATGAGTTTGGTGACACCTAGAGGCCGGCAAGATTCCAGTTTTAATCCAGTTCTCTAGAATATAGATGGTGGGCCATAGATGAACAGGAGTCCTGACAGAAATAGCTCTGTGTGTATGTGTGTGTGTGTATGTGTGTGTGTACACATGTGTTTTCCTTCCGTGAATTCTTCGCTGCTGCTTTTTGCATCCTTTGTGTGTAAATGTGGGTGTGTAAGATCTGACATCTGAACGGTCATAAATGAATGAAAGGTGTGTGTGTGTGTGTGTTGGGTTTTTAGTTGGAAGCGTAGGAAAGGACTGACTCCCTTCCTCATCTACATGTCCCCCACCCTCACCCCCAATGCAGCGGTGCTGGTGAAATACTTAAGCAGAGGGCTGTGAATGGCCAGCACCGGGCCGCTCTCGTACCTGCGTCGACCGGATGGGGCCGAGCGATCATTTCAGGGAAGTGGCAGCGTGACACGCTGACGCAGGGCTGAGTCACACAGTAGGACCAGGGATGCAAATCTTACCAGTTCTCTGGGAAAGTTTCAGCGAGCGCGCTCTGTGACCTCTGCTGATCGGTCTGGCCACGCTCCGACTGCTGATGTCTCCCAGAGGACGTTGGCTCAGCGGGCTGCTTTCTTTGCTGTGCACAAAATAGAAGAAAAAAAAAGGCTACGATATTTCCACCAATACCTTATCTTGTGTTTGTTTAAAACGTATTTTAAAATGATACAAAAATTCCGGCTTCATTTGTGTCGAGAGCTTGTTTGATGGTTGATGCAGCTGTCACTACGGCTGTAGACATCGGTGTGTGTGCGTGCACACATGCACAGACCAGGAGTACACTCAGTCCTGTACAAATAAACCATCACTTCCCAGAACTGTGCGGCTGCATCTGCCCAAAGTTTTCCCGCCCATTCTTCAGCCTGCTGACGTAACAGGCCTGAGAATGATTTCCAGAGCAGAGGCGCTGTGACGTGTCCCTGGATTCTGGAGCTTCTGCTCTGGGCCTCCCGTGCAGTGTGTGAAGCACGTCTGATGTCACAGTGATGTCACAGTGATGTCACTGCGTCTCAAGAGTCTAAGCCTTGTTATTGTTCCAGCTAACGTCGTACTGAGGGGGATTACAGTTTTTTTTACCAAAGCTTTTCTTCAAATGAAAACTAGTTTTTCTTCATGTCAACAACATGAAACAATTTATTTTTGTCGTTCAAGGGATATTGTATATTTGAATCATGTTTTTGTAAGATGAAATTATGTCAAAAAAAGTTACATTAAAAAAAGTATATGAACAGAAAAAAGAACTGAAAAGGCAAAGAAATTATACAAGCAGACACGGGAACATAGAATTTAAACATGTTAATTAACTATTGTGGACTATTGTGTAGACTAACCTAGAGGGCGCTGGTGGACGAGTGTTAGGTATTCTTAACTTTACAGCATTCTCTCTGTATTCTCTCCTGATACTGGTTTCCTCCCACAGTCTTCTTGCACCCCCAATTGCCCAACCCTTTGGAGAAAATTTAAATTAATGTCAGCTGGTGTTTTTTAAGTGCAAATTAAATCTTTTTTAGTCGTGTTTGATTGGAAAAGTCCCACTTAAACTGGAGGAATTTTACAATTTTCATCCCTGACACCCCCTAGTGGCAACTTGAGTACCCCTACTCTAATATGAGTCATGAGTCTGAGTGTGATTGGTTGTCTGTCTCTAAATGTGGTTTATAATTGACTGGAGAAGTATCGCGGACCGACCCACCCTCATTAGTGTCTGCTTCATGTTCATTCTCCAGAAGATGAATGAAAGTTTTAACAAAGCCAACCCAGGTTCTGCCTCTCTCTTCCTGGAGTCTCTCCTGAGACTACAGATGACTCTCTGTTTTATCCCTTCAAAAAAGTATTTGCTCCTGGACCTGTTTTAAAGATCAAGTCACTAAGTTCATGACTAATGGTCAGTGAAATGAGTGAACTGGTCAGTCATGGTTAAAATCCTGTCACACAGTAATGACCCAGAGCTGCTGCAGGAAGAAAACAACACGCTAAAAACACGCTGCGACTTGTGACCATAAAAATGCAGAGTTCAACATTTCCTAAACATACACACACAGAGAGACACAGAGGGGTCAGTCACCTCTCTGCCCCCATGGCTGACCCTCAGACTGACCTCCGTCTGACTGAAAGCTTTGGTCTCATTAAAAAAGAGTAGATCTTTACTAAATGTGTGAAGTGAAGTAAACACCAGGGACCATGTCAGGATGGTTTTTGGCGAAGTATTTTCTGAAGTAACTTTGCTCCTACATTACAAGTACGTTAATGAAAGCCTTTTAAGTCGAGCCATTAAAAAACAATTTTGTATAAGCAATTTAAATTATTTAGAACGGTTCCGTTCTTCTAAACTGTGATTCGGTCGCCGTCACTGCGTTCACCTCTGTGCAGGTCACAGTCACAGCCAGTTAATCGTCAATTCACCATTACAGGCCAGGTTTGTGCTTTTTCATCATCCAGTCTGACCTTCTTCCTTATCAACCTACAGAGCTTTTCATCTGCCCTGCTGGTCCTCTGCCACACCACCAGCCTTTACTTTAGCCTCCCACCTCACCGGCGTAGCTGTTATGCGGAGCTATCTTTCATCTTTGTGGGTGGACATGCAGTTCTGCGTGGAAACAGTGTCAGTCAGCGGTGGTCAGAGCCGTGGGCCGGTCATTATTAGTGCCTAAAGAGTGTATTTTCACCAGTTTTGCCCAGAAGAAAAATCTGTGTTGACACAAATTAAACCCCGAAATCCTGGTGGCAGCGCTCCGACTTCCACCAGCCGTTTGATGTGATCTGAAGATTACAAATGACTTGTCTAAACTTTCCACATACTTGTGGTTGTGCCCGTTATTTTGGAGTTTGTTCAAAAGGCTGAGGTTAGCTTTTGCTCCCACTCCACACTGGGGCTGAGAGGGAAGTGTGTTACGATGGGATCCAGACATTTTTGCTTGGCTAATCTAAGGATTTAAGCGCAGGCTTTGAGAGCAGGACAGCAGGACAGCAGGACAGCAGGACAGCAGGACAGCAGGACAGCAGGACAGCAGGACAGCTCTACTGGCTGCACAGTCCAGAGAATACGAGGCGATGCTCTGAGATGCTGCCCTCTGGGCCTGGACCTGGTCACTGGAGCCTGCTGGTTTTTGAGAAAAGAGATTTGTTCCTCTTTCCTCTCCCCAAAAATGAGCGAGTCGACACCAAATGATGTCCTTTGTTAAGCCTTTCCAGTTTGACCCTTACAAGGAAATGGTGGAACAAGACAGAACTGCACATCTTTGGTGTGAAATAATATAATAACATGACTTTTTGAAGCTGTGTGCATTCAGAAGTGGAGTACTGCAGGCTTCAGGTTAATTCTAGTTCTTAAGAAGAATAAGAGTGGCAGAAACCCATTAGGGATAGAAATGCGTGGTCAAGTTTAAAATGAAATTGCTCAAAAACCTTTTTTTTTTATGTCTGTTAAAGTTTTCTGCACCAGGTTTGGGTCATGGCGGTCATTTTGATAGCGTTTGTAGTTTATTTGTGTGCAGTTCAAGACTATTCATATTAATGTAAATATTAATGTATTTGACCAAAGACAATGGAACCTGGGTTAGCCAGAATGCTCAAAAAAATTGGTTGCCTCCTTGAACAGCTGTTAAAAGAAATCCTCAAATAATAAACTAAAATACCAGTGAAAATACAATAAACAGTGCAAACTATAATGTACCTCAACAAAATGCTGATATTGTTACATATTTAATAGCAAAACAAACAGCAGTGTTTAAATCTTGGCAGTGACTTAAGGAGGTACAACAGGGATTCCTAACAGAGGGAAAAGTAGATTTAAAAAAATGTATTTTAAATAAGAAATTGGAGGGTGTCATGCAGCTTTGTTGGTAGGCTGCAGGACGTACCATTAGTTTAGTCAAATGTACCATTTTACACTTGTTCTCCGCTGTGGAGGTCTGAACCTGTGAAGTTCTACGTGAACTCCACTGTTGTCGTTGTTCGACTCCCTGACCACTGCTGGTAGATTCATGTTACAGCAAAGAATCTTGTTTTTCTTTTTCTTCAAATGCCTGTGGTTTTGTCTAGAGTAAATTGATGGTGTTTTGAAATAATCCTGACAGTTTCATTGTCTTTTATTCCACAGATTTCCTCATGTGGTGCAGATTTCAGAGTCGACGTCTCGGCACAGCTATACTCAGTAAGTTATTTTCTTATTATGGTGACGAGGGACGGCCTCACTGCTGTCAAAACTGCTGTCTTTATTTTGACTGTGAAGAAAATACAAAAGGTTTGTTCATTAAACTGATGAGGAGCTGAAGTGTGGCTGCCTGAGGTACTGGCTCAACAGACTGCAGGAAGAAAGAGATGCAAAGTCTGTGTTAAAGCAGCAGAGAAACAGTCACAATGAGACAATATATAAAATATGTTGTAAACCATTTCCCTCCTGTGGGATATAGAAAGACATGTTTAATATAAAATATTTGAATAGTTTAGCCAAATTTCAGTGTTAGAAACCACCTGAGTCCTGACTCACATCATGTGGGCTTCAAACCAGGTTGCAGCTGTGAGGCCGACACTGACACACTTTACACTGAGTTCATTTTTAAAGTCCAGCTCTAATGTGTAGTTTGTCCTGGCCACTCCAGAAACCCCAGTTAAGGACAAGAAAGTGATAGTAAATAACCCATATTTATGGCTTTTTCACCTGGTTAAGTGTGGAACTCCTAAACAACAGCACAGCTCTGCGTTGTTTTACACCTCCTCGCATTTTATGATTGACCTGAGCTTTTGTAAAATCCACAGAACAGACACTCCACTAAAAACAGACCAGGGCATTACAGCTATTACCCACTCTCCCTCGCTCCCTCCCCAGCAGGAGGAGCCAAGGTTTTTTTTAATTTCTCCAAAACTCACAGCTAGGTGACATGCACTGATTATTTCACATTTTCTTTATGCTGGTATAACCTTGACATGTTCCCTCCAATCACGTCAGCCTCAGAGGGAAGTCTGTTCCAACACTGCTAACCTTTCCACTTCAGTTCAGGATTGTGTCACATAACTCCACCGCTGGCAGTGAAAGCCAGAATGTGCTGAAACACAATGCTACGTACTTCAGCCAGACCAGGAAGGAAGGATTAGCAATACATCCTGGGCAAGAAAACATAAAAAAAATTAGAATAAAATCCCCGCTTCAGGTTATCATATCGTAACACTTAACACATCTGTTTCTTCAACTAAGCGGGTTAATGACTCACAGCTTATCTGAGGTGTTTCCTCACTCTGGCTTGCTCTTCTCAATATCCCACCATCTGCCTGAGAAGAGGGAGCAAACGCAGCAGCGCATGATAGCAAGGAACTTGTTGAAGATGTGGCACCGTGCTCCGTGATCTTTGGAACTGGTCGAGGATGTTCTCACTGAGTGTTGTAGACGGATAAAATGCACCCGTGGTCTGTGGTTGCTGACCACAGCTCTTCTGGCACAGTTTAAAGCTCATGTCTCCTCGGCTGTGGTCATGCATCCACCCAACATGAAAGTACAGCACTAATTAAAACATCCTAATTACAAAACTGGATGTAGCCCTCCACGAATAGGACGCACAGAAAAAGAGGAAGTTCAGCAAAAAACTCATCTGGGGATAACATCTGCGTTGATGACTCTCCAGAGAATGCAAAAAAAAAAAAACAAAAAAAAAAAAACAAAACTGTGTTTGGCCTGCTGGATTTACAAAGCCGTAAATCAAAGGGGCCGTATTTGGGCCCCGGGCCATAGCATTTACATGTGATGTGGGTGAGACAACATTTTCAGCGTTCAAATGCACAAACCAGTTAAGGAATCAAATTCTTCCTTTTTCAGTTTGAACCTCCAGCAGACGGTGGAATTGATAGAACCAACAAGTTAAAAAGGTTCACCAGAGTACTTCAAGGTTCAAGTATCACTTAAATACAACACACGCCTTGTTGTTATCATCATGGCTGAGAACTCTGGGGAAATCTGGTTTAGGTTTTATATGCGATTTAATTTCATAAATATTTAAATTGTGATTTGCAAGAAATATTGAAACTGCTGCCGTACAAGTATCTCAGCTGTTACAGATCACCTTGTTGTTAAGTGGCACAGTGTGTAGTACAATACTACATCTATATTCATTAGTTAATTTTCAATGTGACTGAATGTACTGCTTTAAACAAACCAATAACGTTCCACCAGGACAGGAGTCTTCAACCTGTGGCTCCTGGGCCACATGTGGCTCCTCAGAGCTTTTCTTTCCCCAAATGTCAAACTTTATTTTTATAAACAAAACAAAACATTAATACTGACTCATCGACACTGTGGAACAACTGCCAGGCTGTGGATATTGGATATTGGTGGATAGTGACTATGCACTATTGCCTTTATTTACTTAGTTGATGGGTTTGTTTTGTTGTTATATTTTGTTGCAAAATGATAAAATTGCCTCTTCTGTTGGTGAAGCTTTTAAATCCATGTGCCACAGCATGAAACCTATGAACCCATTTTTATCTTCTGCTGTAGATAAATAGCAGCTGCAGAGTGTGATAGATTAATTGAATGCTGTGTGTTTCCACATCTGGTTGATTGTGGTTCACTGAGTTTATTTTTTTAAGTATTTTGTCTTGTTTGCAAAGCCTGCATGCTGCAGTCATCAAGTCTGCCCTCTGAAGTGGTTAAATCAAAACGATGTGCGAGCTACGGCCATCATTAGCTGCCGAGGTGACAGGGGTCACAGTACTGCGTGGTGTGTGGATCCATACTTGACTGCTGTTCAAAAAGTATTGATAAATGAATCAGTTAATTTGTTGATTTGTCATTTTCTTTATGAAAAAAAATTGCATTTGTGGTTCAGAGAGTACATGAACAAGCAGCATGCAGGCTAATCGGGGATTCTCTGAGGTATTCATGGGAGATGTTGGAAGGAGAAAAGGAAATTATTTTTTTGGTTTTGCAACTAAAATGTAAAAAGCCAAAAACACAGGCTGTTTAATTGATAGCAGGCAATAATAAAGTAAAGTGCCATGTTTTCACCCTGCTGCCCTGAAGCACTGGACTTTTATCCTTCTGTCAAAGCCATTAGAGGCATTTTCAGCCAGCTTTAAAAACGCTGTGGTGTTCCCACACATTCAAACATTTAGGGTGATTATTATCTTAGCTGCATGCTAGATATTTCCAAGCAGAGGCTGTGAGTTGATGTGAGGTGAGGGATGAATATTAGAATGTGACCAGATCACGTCCCTGGACGTGAGAAGAGACGTCCCATTAAGGTGGAACAGGAAAGAGAGACCGAGTGTATATCAAACAGAACCAAGTATTTAGTCTATTCCATAACTACCCAGGGACATATTGATAACACCGCACAGCCCAGAACAAACCACACGTGCTGGCAAAAAGGCTGTAAGTTAATGTTGTCCTCACTGTGTCTGTCTAAATGTTTGTGAGCAATGCACGCAAACCTGTTTTCACATATCCTGTCTCTGTTGATTTCTGTTGTATCGCTGCATGTTTTTATCCCCGGACTTTTGTGATAATCACACAGATGATGAAAATAAATGAATACCAGATCACACTTAATTCACTGCCTTCACTGTGGTACTACAACATAACTGCACAGTATGTGTTTATGTTTGGGACTGGATCCAACCTAACAGACGGTCAAGAGTTTCCTCCTAAACCCCTCACCAGTGAACCAACACAGGTTTGAAATGACTTCACCTTTAAACACCATTTCAACTCAGCAGCATTCGTACAACTATAGATTTTATTTTCCCTCCACTTAAAATTAAAATACCATCAATTTCTGTCAGTTGAGAGACTTCACATTCATTTACTGCTCAAACGTGAACACATTTTCTTTACAAATCAAAGTTGTTAAGGACACAATTATCAGCCGCTTTTAGAACAGGCACATTGTGAGCAGCAATCATGTGTTTTTATTTATCAAGGTTTGACAGTTTTAAAAGAAAACTCATGTGCTATAGTTTGACTTCACGAAAAGGAATTATTCATGCTCCCCAGGCCAAAGAAACATAAAGAGAAAAACTTTTCCAAGAATCTCGACAAGTAGTGACAGTAATAAAAAACAAAGTTTCTTACTAAAAAAATCAAAACGTAGTATTTTTCTGCCATGTTGTAACATTATCATTTCTAAAATCAATGTATGAGGTTGGGGACCTTCAAACGCAGCATTTAACTTCACCACTAGAGGCTGCTAAATTACGCAAAGGTACCTTGCATAAGCTAAAGTGTTAACCAAGGGATAGACACAGCATTGGAATATCAGCCAATCAGGATTTAGTTTAGAATTGTAGAGACTTTATTGGTGGTTTGGGTTTATAGGGGTATTTTTGTCTGTTTTGTTTTGTCTTTAATTCTTTCTCTGTTCGACTCTCTCGTCTTGTGACCTCCTCTGATCGCTGCCACCTGTTTGTAATTGGTTACATTTGTGCTCGTCATCTCCACTGCCTTCAGTGTCCGCTCTCCCACTGACGCTTTCTCCTCTTACCTTTGTGTACAGTATCTTCAGCATAAATCTCTTGGTGAATTCCCTCATCTGTTGGCCAGGTTGGTCCTGTGTCCTGTGTGTCTTTGTCTCTGGACTGTTATTACTTTGACTTTGTTGAAACTTGTGGAACCAAACACTGTCAAAACATTCTGGTTTTCTTTCTGATTTGGCCTTGATGTCTGTATTTTATCCGAATCTGTGGAAATCTCATAAAAAACGACCCATATCTGCTCTGATAGAGAAATTTCACCTCATGCCACCAGGGTACGGTGGGACCTGATGCACTGCTTTCTGCCCCCAACTGTAATTGAAGGCTAATTGCAGTCAGGTGTTTTTAAACCCTATTCTAAGTAATGAATCACTGTTTGTGGGACTCTGACCGGTCTCTTCTTTCTGATTTTGCAGTTTATATGAACATTAAATTGTTTTTTTCCTGAAGTTTTTGTAAATAAAAGCAGACGTGTCTATCCATGGACCCCAGCTGCACCGCCTCAGTGCTCCAGCTGTGTGGAAAAGTGATCTAGAAATCTGTTTAAATCCACATCAGAAATGGTTCTGAGGACTGTTACCCCACATATCCAGCATTGTGCCCTTGCTAAGTGGGGTTTCTTTATTTGCCCTGCTCTCCCTCCTCCTTTCTTTAATTGCATCCTTCCTTTCTTCCTCCCTTCTGTTTTCCTGTTCTTGTCGACCCATCTTATTTATTGTATTTACAGATGTACACTAACCCTGACTTCAGGGCACTTTATTTTTTCCCAAGATCCACAACAGTGGAAGTTGCACATAAACAGTTCCAAACAAACAGTTCTTGGCTCTTCAGTCTCAGATATGTTTAAAATCTAACGTGTTTAATTACTCAGCTAATTCTCCGGTCGCTGGTGTGCAGCAGGTTTATGTTTGCATAGGAGAGAAGAAAGGAGTTTTAAAAGGTGATGCATGTTGATCATTTATTTTGAACAGTACTTGAACATGTACCCGAAAGTACCTGTTGTGTACGTGTGTTCATTTGTATGGATATTTACACTGGAGTTTCACACCTGCAGATCTTCAAGGAAAGAAGACATTTGAAGACATTTGAAGACTTAAAATCAAGTTTCTGAAAATGATGACTCATTAGAAATTAGACTCATTTTTTTGCTCATTTTTTGTTCATTTTACCTGCAAAGCTGGTCAACATCAGTGTTGTTTTCCTGGTAAACTTAATTTTAATCTCACCTTGCCCAACACCTGTCTATGTAATGTCTATGTATACATATAACCTCAACATGAGTGAACATGTTTTTGTAGAGAAATGCGTACAATATTGTTTAATCGTGTTTTACGCCGTCTGTAGAGGTCCTCATTATTCAGCAGCTTCCGGGGAGAAGCTGTTCCTCAGTCTGGTGGTCCTGCTCCTAATGCGCCGCAGCCTCCTGCCTGAGGGGAGGGGGATAAACAGTGCGGGGTGGGTGGGGTCTGTCATGATGCAGGAGGCCCTTTTCCTTTTGGATACTACATCTGTATTCTCCTCGGATTAAACATCTCAAATGTGACCTGGGCTGGAAACGATTTGTTCCATTAGCAGTGTCGTCACTCCTGCCAAGAGGCATGAGGCTCAGGAACGGTGTTGGATCCGGGTGGTATGGGTTGGGTTTTAATAGGTCAGATTCCTGTGAAAGGATATGATGACTTACTCGACTTGAGTCCGTAGTAGCTTGATTCTCAGTCACGTTTTAAGATGTTATCTCCCGTTTGATTTTCATTCAGTGGGCAGGATGGGAGGGCGCCGCTCACTGCTCCCCTGGGCTTCTACATCCAGCCTGTATCAGGGTCAGGCAGCGCCTCTCATAAACACAAATTAAACCAGTGGAATGGCAGACTATAAACCCATGCTGAAAACTTCCACTAGGACAGTATGACAGTGACACTGAATAGAAGCAGAAAGAAACACTACTTTTCATATATACACACATTCTACCCTGTACAAACTTGCTACCTCGTGTCTTGTCTTCAGTTTCCTCCACATATTTCTTCTTTGGGTTCAGGTCCAGACTTGTTGTCTTGGTACAACAAACGACCCCCAAAATGTTTACTAAATGAAACCCTGCTTGCAGATGTGTTTTGACTTGTAAGGGGCTTTGGTACAGTGTACAGAAGCTCTGCCCGTTCCTAAAGTGCCTGTAGTACTAACAAAGTACATGTTTTACACCTACTGAAATCTGGAACTGAGCCATTCTGATTGTAACATCTCCCTCTCCCCTTCGGTGCCAGGTGGTTCCACCCATTCTACACCCGTCATCTACAATGTAGCAACCAAAGGTTAATGGCAGCAGTTAATTCAGCACAGTGCTAACTGAACAGCAGCTATGTTGTGGAACCACTCGAGGCAATCCTGTACCACAACATGGCAGAATAAGAGCTAAGTGCAGTTTGCAGTTTAAGCAGTTTTATTTAAACAATTAAAAAAGAGAACATAAAAGTGATGGCAGTTAACAGAAATGAACTCCTGACCGCGGCAAACGCTGAGCTTTTCTTCTTGTTCTGGGTCTACCACTCAAATATGTACGTGTTCTTTTTATGGCATGTAGCTATGTATCATAGTGGTTAGCTGCCAAGGCTAATCTTTAGCCTTCCCACTGTTCAACTGTTGCCCTGGTTATGTGGAGCCATCATCCAGGTTTTTACCCCACAAAGAGGTGGGCGGAGCTTATAGTTCCATTTACCATTTAAAGGTAAAGCAATAGAAAGCAGTTCAGAACAGAGCTAGCTCAAACCCATGCTATTATTATTATTATTATTATTATTATTATTATTATTATTATTATTATTATTATTATTATTATTATTATTATTATTATTATTATTATTATTATTATTATTATTATTATTATTATTATTATTATTATTATTATTATTATTATTATTATTATTATTATTATTATTATTATTATTATTATTATTATTATTATTATTATTATTATTATTATTATTATTATTATTATTATTATTATTAACAAGGCTTGTCTAAATTTGGAAAGACTCTGAGAAAGTCTTGGCTAAAGCTAAAAATGCTATTTAAAATTGGATTATTAACAGGAGAAAGTGAACAATTTTGGATTAAATTTAACACCAGATATATTTGCAGTTTCTTAACTACTTCGTAGTCCTACTTCGACACTACTACGTGTGTCCTTATATTTTCCTGTAGAAGCCTGCAGACCTTCTACCTCTAACACAGATGCCACAGGTTCAGAGGGCACTGCTGACTCAACTTCTGCTCTTTTATTAGCACCAGACAGAGAAAGAAATAAAAAGAGAGATTGGTTATAATATCTGCAGCACCATGTGTACGGAAAATACGTCTCTGATTCTCTGGTGGCATTTCAGGACACAGATTAAATATGTGGTTTCATCTGGAGAAGCTCATTTTCTACTTTGATGGATTTTCATCTTTGCAGAGTCAGATCTCTGTAAATAACAGAGCTAGTTATATTAAATATTGCTCTTATGGCCAAGAAAACGCTACATTAAAGGAGGACATGGAGCTGTTTTGGAGTATTGTTGTATGAGGCACAGACAACACCGTGTCAACACAAACTATGACGAGTCTTCTCAGGAACCAGCCAGAAACAGAAGGAAACCAGATCGTGGCCTTGGATAATAACCTAAACATTTATATGTTTGTTCTTTTGCTATAAGACCATGTGGTTCTACTGGTAACTGAAGGTTTACTGAATACCTGAACAAAGATCAGGAGCAGAATCACGCAGTAGTTTTCAAATCTCCCGTTCTCCTAATCATTAGTTCAGTTGTCAAATGCTCTGACGTTGTTGTAAAAATAAAAAAATAAAAAATAAATAAATAAATAAATATAATAAAAGTGACATAACCATCTAAAAATTTGTCAGGACCCACAGCAGCTCTTTAATAAAAACCAACCGACCCCTTTAAATTATTGCAGAATAAATAGGTTTGTGCATTGATATTATTTTCTCAATCTCCTTTTCAGTGTTTCCACATTTGGCAGCCGTAGTGAAAAACCTCCAGTGGGGACACATTCAAAAACACATGGCTGTCCAACAGACTCCCCAGGGGCCCCATCGTCAGAAATGTGGAAAACAAATGTGCAGTAGAACTTTTAGCTGAACACTGGGAAAACGGTAATTAGACCAATATCTGTGGTGTCACGACACAAAAGT